CCAGTCGCTCCTGCTCCGCCTGAGGCGCGACCTCCCAGCAGGCCTCGCGTGCCCGTCGTCCTGGAACCCCAGGCGCAAACTCCCGACAGCCTCTGCGCACCGGAAGTGACTCCTTCCGGTTAAAGGGCTGGAGGACGGAATCACCCGACAGCCTCTGCAGCTGCTGGGAACTTTTCTGGCAGAGGTCTCATGAGTCCTGATAGTCCAGGAGAAGCCGGAAGACTACCTTCTGTTCGTAACTCCTCCAAGGCAAGCTTTTTGAATATATGCAAATATCTGATGGGACGATGTTTCAAACGAATTTGTGCATGCCAGACAGGCGCTTAGACCGCTACACTATCTCCCCAGACCTTTTTACATGTACTTAAACCGTAGTTTTAACATTTACTGAAACACCCCTAACCATTTAGTCTGTATCATATACTCTGTACGTTTCCCAGACATTTTAAATCAAAACTTGATGCAGCTGGTAAGGCCCAAAGACTTTAAATTCCTTACTAGAAAAACAATAATCCCGAAACAAAAACTGGATTTTGCTGTTCATTTTGTATTGTACTTGTATCACAAAGCATTTATCTTAACTGTTCTATAATACAGGGTGTGACTGAAAAACATAGTAATGTGTAAGTTTTTAAAAATTTGAGTCAGGGATATAGCTTAGCTGCACAGCACCTGCTTGCGAAGTGCAGGGTCCTGAGTTCGAGTCCCAGTCCCCAAAAATAAATAAAACAAAAATTTGGTTACGGTGAAACACATAGCCATTGATTTCCCTCAAAGTACTCCCCCTTTTGCCTCAAACACACTTAGCTCATCCTTCTTGCTACTCCCTGAGGCAGTTTTGAAAGTCCCTTTTCTTTGGCGACCTTAGTGTCATTAGGAGTGAATAGGTTTTATAGAACTAAGTCATCAACCTATCATGCATTATGTGGGAAGTCCAATATAACGTAAATGGGATATTTTCTTTAGCTATTCAGGTTAAAAGTTCTCATTACCCTTTTTAAAACAACAATTTGTATGGTTTTAAGTGCAACTGGGTCGGCGCTATTCTATGATACTTTCCAAACTCATGCAAAAACTATATAATAATCAACCCAGGAGAATCCCATCCCAAGAGAGACAGCAGATGCTATGAAATATCAGAAACACAGTGTATGCCTGGCAAGTGCAAGGGCCTGAGTTCAATCCCCGGTTCCACCAAAAAAAAAAAAAAAAAAGAAAGAAACAGTGTATACCACTGCCCAAAATGAGTCTGTTACAAAAATTAGGGTTTATATTAAACAAGATGTCTACCCTAGGACACCTAAAGGACAGGCAGTGTCCTGACTACTGTGTGACTTCTGACTCTTCCTCAAAGTCAAAATTACTATGCAAGCTAAACTTTTGAGTCAGTTCAAAGCATCAAGGCAGTCACGACAGCACAACTAAAGACACTCAACGAAGAAAACGTCTTCAGAAGTGGCAAGAATGATGGAATAAATGTTCAAAGCAAGAATGAGTATTTTGAGGTAGATTAATGGCAGTGTGATTTTTAGCATAATTTTTATATGTAAACATTCAGGATATTTTTAGTACATCTTGTGTATTAATTAAAAGCTAGTTAAAAACTAGAACTCTTCTCAGATACACAAAGTGAAATATTTTTAAGTTCCTCTGGTATTTTTTTAGTGAGTAACCTGTGAATTTGTGGTATAATACATTTTTCCCTTAAGTCATTGGGACATACTAACTAATATAGAATTATGTACTAGGGTAGACATCTTGTTTAATATAAACCTAATTTTCGTAACAAAAATTTACATTATATATATATCTATAATTGAGTTAGACCAAATAAATTTAGCAAGTCAGAGTAAATCAGCCTTCTGCATGGAGTGGCTGTTGGTTTTCAATAATGAAAACCATGCAGTCAAACAGGAGCAGTGGCCCTGTGTGTCAGCCTTTCCTCCTTTCAAGA